CGTGGAAAGAGACTTGCATGGTGGAATGTTAAGAAGTTTGCCGTTATTTGATCTAAGATAGTACCTACCCCCTGTGTCTTTCGGTGATACAAGTTCGGAAATGTAAGTCGGAGCAAGTTTACTACTATTTTTTATTTCTACTATTTTGTTATTATTATTATTATTATTATTATTATTATTATTATTATTATTATTATTATTATTATTAAAGGGATTTCATAATAGTGCAACATGAGGGAATAACCTTCGCCCCTCTCCCCTTACTGAGTTGTTTATCCGTAATATCCACCAATGTGACCATTAGAATTACAATAATTTCTATCGGTACGAATCGTACTTTGCCCCAATGGACCACTAGAGTCCCTCCCTGTCCCCCCCCTACCTGTACCCTGCAAGGGCACATGGGGGAATAATCTAAGGCTCCTTAATAAGATGCATATTTACCAATAGACGTCCTTAAGAGTAATATCAATTTCACAAGTTAGTTCCAATCGTACCTTTGGTATCAATACACCATCGGAATCCTCCTGCACCCCGCAAGGCCACATGAGGGAATAAGCTAAGTCTTTTTACTGAGATGCATATTCACCAATGGCATTAGTCTATTGGTGCTTATCGTACAATTGGCTCCGATCGACACTCTCGTTACTCCCACTCACACCAATGGAGTCTATTTGTGTGTATTGGACAACTGTTGTAGAAGGCCTAAATGTAATAAACGACCCTAAATGTAATAAAGTGCTAACTGTAATAACATTTTGTCCAAAATGTGATAAAGTCCTAAATGTAATAATAATTTGCCCTAAATGTAATAAACTCTTAAGCTGCCAATACTGGTAATTGCTGGAATAAGCGCCACCCTCAAATATGCGCCGCATTGGGAAGAGGGGGTTAATTAGCGCCGCGGCGCTTATTGTTGTAAATACGGTACTAAGCGGTATTGCTATGGTATTAAGCTCCGCTCTCAAATAAGCGCCGTATTTTTGGAGAAAATAGTTAATAAGCGCCGCGGCGCTAATTCGCGTAAATTCGGTACATTTCCTTATGCACTGTGAAACTTAACGTTTACAAATAAATTGCTTGCATGCAATTGTAAACGACAAAGTAACAGTATTTTTCTAAAAAAGCAATATTTACAGTAGAAAACTTTTTGCCTGTGTTTGAATAGCCTGATATAAACACTCGAGGGGTTGGCAGAATTGAGACAGTTATATGCAAACCCTCGAAGTCGTTTCGGGTTTGCATAACTGTCAAGATCAAGGCTATTCAAACACAGGAAGAAAGTTTTCTAATGGTTTTATGAAATAACTTTATCGAAAAAAAAAAGAAAAACTCTTTGTTTAGGTTACTGATTAAAAGAGAAATTCTTACCAGTCGCGAAGTCTTGTACGCTAATGTACGTGTAATAAGTTCTTGTTTGGCAATAAAGATGCAACCTCGTCCCCAGGGTGCTTTTTCTTGGCTTTGGTTAGGGAAAAGCGCCCTGGGGACGAGGTTGATAAAGGTGCTTTCCAAAAAAGGGTTTTTCTCGCTTAAAATGTCAGCTTAAGCGAAAGAAAAAAATAGCACGACATGTTTGTAAAGATTTTCCAAGTTTCATCCGACGAGGGAATGGGTAAATAAATTAAATTTGTCGAGTTTTCAACTCAAAAACATTTTAAAATTCGCGCTTGCGTGATTACCGCGTGAAGAGCAAAACATGTTTACATACTGTCATGCAAACACATCTCTCGGCCAATCAGAGCGCGCGTTGTTATCAGCTGTGCAGTAGTCTTTAGGGCCTGTTTACATGGAGGTGGGGTACGGCCAGGTAGGTGAGGTAACATGCAGCGGGTCACCCCACCTATCATGTAAACGTGATCAAATTAAAATGAGAGATTATGTGGACAGGCGGGTTACCGACCAAAGCGGGTTACCTCACCTACCACCTCCATGTAAACAGGCCCTTAGACTTCTCGTTTATTGTTCTTAATATTTTTGGCTGATTAGATCTCTTTTCTAGAGATCCAACGTTGACAAGCAACAAAATCTTCGTTCACGGTTTTCGCAGTAAATTTCTTTAACAGAAATGAAGTATAAAAAACTTTTTAAGGCTTACAAGTTTTTTTTATATTTTGTCCTTTTACAAGCAATGTATAAGGAAAGTGTATAAGGAAATGTACCGAAGCTTATTAAATTTTTTCTCCAAAAATGCGGTGCTTATTTGAGGGCGGCGCTTAAAACCATAGTAATACCTCTTAGCACCGTATTTACGCGAATAAGTGCTAGAGCGCTTAAATATTAAATTCCACCTCCCCCAAATGCGGCGCTTATTTGAGCAATTACTGTAATTTGCAACTTAAGAGTTTATTACATTTAGGACAAAATGTTATTACATTTAGAACAAAATGTTATTACATTTTGGACAAAATGTTCTTACATTTAGGACTTTATTACATTTAGGGTCGTTTATTACATTTAGGCTTCTACAACTGTCCTCAGGGTGTCTTTCCTCCGTGGTCCAATGGGTAGAGCGCCCTCCCAGTAAACTCCCATTGTTTGGGAGGTCATAGGTTCCAAACACTTGCACTTATTTTAAGAAAAAAAAAACTTAGGGTGTGTAAATCTTGAGCTATTATTTTGAACAATGTTAGTGAAATAACAGGTCAAATTACTTGGTCTATATAGTGCCAAGTAGTGGGATTGAAGGGTTCTTTAGAGGTAGGATTACTGTATTTTGTTGTGGTATTCTCCTCTGGGTATTGTTATTCATGACATGGTGATGAGGTACGAGGAATGGCTCTGGCCTCGGACAATGCAAAGGCCAGTAAAAGGAACGGCCGGGCAACATCAAACCTTGGGCATGTCAGGTGGGAGGGCAGGTTGCTAGTAGGCTTTTTACTTTCGCAGCCACGGGCTTTGAGCGTTGATGAAGAAGGAAGCACGTGTAAATTCGTGTAATCTCTTCCATAGTTTTGATAGACCTCTTTGCCGGTAAGGCGGCTATATTGAATTAATTCGATTTACGGAGTATTATGGGATGGCCAGGGGGAAAGAGCACGATCCGCTGTCCTCGCTTAATATTAGAAATTGATCTTTCACTGTATATTTCTCGGGAAAAAGGCGATCATTATTACATTCAAACACGGAACAACGATATTTTTTCCCATGACAATCTTATTCTAAATGCCCCGAAAGGCGCTCGTAAATACTAAACGTACTGTGCTCATGCCCCCTGGGCATTCTATAATACTCCTTAAATCAAACTTTAATGCCGCGGAAAGATCGGTAAAAAGGTCTTTTATTAGCATAATTCCCAGGGTATATTCAATTTCCCTTGCAAATCGAGTTTGCACAGCGAGAGGTTGAGGGGTTCGTACTCCAGGTTGGATTAATACCTTAGATGGGTACTCGGTGTTAACAGTCAGAGGTGGACGTTTTGCAAAACGTGACCTTATTATTCTTTTCAACTTACCTTAACCGTACATTCATAGACAAACGTAGTGCCTGCGCTGGCCACTACCTTTCCTGAAGTGCAAGCGTCGAATGTTACATCTGGAGCGAGAGCAGCCTCGTCGTCACAGTTTACCTCGGTTATCTGTGAAGGATCGTTGCAGAGTACTACGGGACTAGCTGAAGGGGTGCACTTTTTGCACATAATTCCTAAAACTGAGAGAAAAGGCAAAGGAAAAAATTGTCAATTCAGTGAAAGCGAAAATTCGAAAATTGAAATTCGAAAGCGAAAGTCATTTTGGAGGTGTGGGATTTATGACTCGCATCTAACAACGTTCTGGAAACTGAAAGACCGGGTTGCCATTTTAGCATTCCCTAACTGTTAGGGCTTCTAGTTGTAAAGAAACTGAACTAAGTCTACCCAGTTTTGATGCAAAACATTTTTTGAAAGAAGCTTTAATTCAAAATCAGTGATTAAATCGTACACTTAGAATTCTTTAAGGATTCGTAAAGGTTTATGTTTATAAGGTGTTTCGGTACATTTTTTCCGGGACAATACCTTTTTCTTGTCCTATCGCTATACCTGAATTTTCATGCAGAAGTAACGTCAAAACGTTAGATTAAATTGTGACGCATATTTTTTGGCCGGTTCATATACTAGGCTTACCTTGAAATTTGAATGTGTTGGATCGAATCAACATTAAACCCTATTCAGATAGGGTTTTTTTGTGCTTCTTGCGACCGGGGGTGGGGGAGGGTTGGAGGCTGCCCCTCTATACCTTCACTGATAACTTCATTGAAACCGCTCATTGTTACACAGAATCCAACATCTAACAATAACTTGATTGACATAATGACGTAATTTGACGTCATTATGATGTCTGATTGCTAAATTTATTGGCAGTATCTAAATTTCATCAATTTTCCCCTTCAAGTAGCCATAAAGCAAAAAAATTTTGAGTAGTAAGGTGCCATTAGTTAAATGTATTCCATTTTACTTAAAACCCGTATAAATTTACGCAATCTGTGTATAAAAGGATGCTTTGAAAGCAAAACAATGAACACTGTTGATAATTGATCATAGCATCAGCTATTTAGTCATTTGAAATTTATCGTGTTTTTTTTTTATATTAAGCCTATATTAACAGCTATAATAAATGTGATAATAGTAACTTTGGAGAAAAAATGCAAATTTTGAAAACCTGGTTCGGGTTGTTCGAAGTTGGGGTAAGATAACCCAGGGTTAGTGCGAGATTTGAAGTCAGACATGAGAGCTTAAAAAGTAGATTCAGTTTAATTCTCTTTGCCTACAATTCGATGACAGGATACTCTAAAAAGAATAGAGAAAATTATCCGAAAGAGTGCTTTTGATAAAAAGAAAAAGAAACCCGGGTTAAAATTTTACTACGGGCTTGCGCTAACCGGCGTTCGTACAATTGGACCCTGGCTGTCAAAACTAGGTTGCCATGGTAACCTTATGTTACATACTCGTCACGATGACCTATAAATGTTTCAAGATAAGATCGCAGGAATCAAGACTATCATGTATAACTGCGAAAGCCGAGGAGGGTCTTCCGACTTCTGACTTCCGACTTCCAACTTCAGACTTCCGACTTCTGACTTCCGGCTTCGAACTTCAGACTTCAGACTTAAGACTTCATACTTCAAACTTCAGACTTCAGACAAAGTGCGAACTCCGGATTTCTGATCTCTGACCGCTCAGACTCAAAGCTGAATGGCTAGACCTTCGGACCTCCCACTTTCCACTTTCCACTTCCCACTTCCCACTTCCCACTTCCGACTTCCGACTTCCGACTTCCGACTTCCGACTTCCGACGTCCGACTTCTGACTTCCAACTTCCGATTTCCCACTTCTGAGTTCTAACTTCCGACTTCTGACTTGACTCTCAGTTCGCGGGTATTAATGCCCAAATTCAAAGCTCAGTGGAAAGGACGGCTGTACCGTTCTCGCCACAAAAGAGAACAACTAAAGTTGCTCTTGAAAAAGCAACTAAGCACAAAGCCAACCCGGCAACCGATGAGGTTCGCTTGGAGAACCGAAACCATGGTCTTGCCCGATCACACAGTGGCAATAACAAAACAGTCCAAACACTGTTAATCTTATTCTAGCCTGCATGACATGCGCCTTATGAGCCAAGCGAAGCGAACGCGGCATTTTGTGCGAAGCACGAAACCAGTGTAAAGCGCTTCGATCGTTAAGCGCCTGTTGTGCATGCTAAACTTATTCAAAAAACTATTACCAAGGAAGGAAATACCCGCTCCAGTCAAAAGAATAGAAAAACACCAAGCTGGAATATACTGCGTCACAATGCAGTTCTCCATAGTTGATGCAGCTTCATTTTAAGCTTCACTTCATTCTTATAACTTTGGATCTGTAAATCACTATCCGTGATAATTTAACATCCTGCAAAGAAAACTAACGAGCTGGGTCCAGCGTGATAAAACATTGCAGATTCACCGACTAAAGAAAATCGCTTTGTTATTCAGGTTCAGAAGGCCGCTTTGGAGAAAAATTAGAGCTCTTCTTACTCAGCCGTAATAAAAAGTCTTACCCTTTAAACAAGGTCAAAGAAATGCTCTTTCATCAGGGGGCAAATCTTGCCGACCAGAAACAAAAACCACTGTCAGTGTGAAACGAGCGGCTAAAATCACATTTGCTCAGTAAAAAATGTAGAACCTTCCATAGCATAATCTACCCAGCAGAAGGAAAAAACGTTATTGAAACAAGCAGCATTTTGGCAGAAGGTAAAAGTCGCGTAGGCCTACCACCGCCTTTTGTTGCTACGGAAGTTGGAAGTTGGAAGGCAGAAGTTGGAAGTCGGAAGTCGGAAGTCGGAAGTCGGAAGACCCTTCTAGGCTTTCGTAGTATAACAGTCACATAACATTTTATCGTAAAATTTAAAAGACATTTATTGAAAGGTTTATGCATTTGACTATTTACTAATTTCAAATTCTGAAAGTGAAAAACAAAACAGCTATTTACTTCTTAACTGTACATTGCTTGTTGATAGCGTAGTGAAAACTATGCAGTTCCTACAGGTCTCCTTTTTAATTTTAAAAAGGCTAGTATCTCTCCTTGTTTGTTTTTGCTTATGTTGTAATTAAAAATGGCAGGTGGTCTGGTCTTACAGTTAACAAGAAGCACTGTATGTAAAACTTTCCCTCCAAGATAAGGCAAAGGTAATATTACAGTAAATCAATTATACCTAAATGCTTTAAGCTAGACAAACAACCTTAATGCTTTGACAACCAGCATTATGATATAGCGAGCGACCTATAGCAATTAGGAAAAACTGTTTGAATGCAGAGATCCACGCAACAAGTAAAAGATATCTTCTCTCTGTATAGCTCTGGCCCTGAGGAAGGCTAACTTTGTTAGCCGAAATATTGGCCTATAATACACCATCCCTTTGCCGTAGTGCCAATACATTCAGTTTTGTTTTGTAGTAATTATGTTGTAGGTAAAATACTCTTAAAGTAAAGGGGCCATATTAACGGGTGCCTGTGAAGCGGGTTGAATTTAGAGAAATGTAAGAGCTTTCTTTTCCCGTGGACAAGGCAAACTGTCTCGTAATAACGAGCTGTCCGTATTAAATGGGTGTCCGTAATTTGAGGTTTGATCATGCATGACTGTATCCTGTATTGGAGGTTAAACTAGGCTTCAATAGAATTTACAAATCAGTATATTAGTATGAAAGCACTCCATCACCACCAAGAATAAACTATTTTTTTTTAGGAATACCCTGTCTTCTAACCCATGGCTAAACAGGGCGCAAGAAGTAACTAAAGGCAAATTCTCGTTTAACCCGGGGCTCCAAGTTTATTTCCAATTACAACGAACACTGATTGTAACCGAGCGAACACACTAGATTCAATGCAATGGCGTAATGACCTATACTTCTCGGTAGGATTTTTTCGTGCCTCACTGTCAGGAGTTTGACTAATAGTCGCGGGTCGCGGGTCGCGGGTCGCGGGTCGCGGGTCCAAAGTCGCGGTCGCGGGTCCAATGTCGCGGTCGCGGGTCCAATGTCGCGGTCACGGGTCCAAAGTCGCGGTCGCGGGTCCAATGTCGCGGCAGGGGAAAATGATTTGGAGTTCGAGGTAACTGAGTGAAAACGAGTGATATGAAAAAAATATAAAGGGCAAAAAATCGTTTTTATGCATGATACTCTACGGTAGCCAATTTACGGGTTACGGATGTTAGAGTCAACAAAATAAAAGAAGACCTAAAAGAAAAAGCTGGCCGACTTTTCTGTTCACCGCAAGTTCATTTTTTTTTCTTTCTATCGGGCCCAGTTATTCAGCTTTGAATGTACTTATGCATAACAGTATCTGATAAAAAATGTTACCATGAGTTACCATTGTTTTCTTCTTGTCTCTGAATTGCTCACAAATTCTTAGCGGTGCATTCACTGAAAAATGTGCGATACACTTCATAGACTATAAATTATAAACGTTACAACAACTTAAAACCTTTTTTAAAAAAGGCTAACTCGGGCTCGAAAAGCTACGAGTCTGTCGGTAGAAGAAACGAGAACTGTTTCAATTTTAACAAATGTTTTCGGCAAAAATAAAGAAAACGCTTGTTGAAAAACTTCCTTGTCGCAAACTCCCAAAATAAACTCTTTGCACAAGTAACTGGAAAGAGGAGGAGAGACGCTGGGCTTGAAGTGCCAGTAAAGTACATTCAACTGGGTAAGTCAAGGCATGAATTTAATATAGAAACAAGTAATAATCCACAGCAAGAGGGGATAAAGCTCGAGCTTTATCCTCTCTTGTCCACAGAAAGGAGTTTGTTCCCACTAACGATTGAAATCCGGAATCCAAGTTCTACCAAGAGAGAATAGATCATAGTCTCTTGGTTCTACTGACAAAGACTTGAATCCAGTACCTGGAATCTGGAATTACTTACCTAATTTATTGTCTTTTCTTAGCTCTGGTGGAGTTGATAACTTACCGTTTGCAGTGTCTGGTTTACTTTCTTTTTCAGCTTCATGATATCGGGCGTTATTATTTCCTTACCTACTTACTCACTTAGTTATTTACGATACATGTTTTCAAGATTTGACTGAGACGCACATTGAATGGCTTCCTATTGACAGGTTGTCCTGCTTGTCATTTAGGTGAAGAGAACAAGAAGTTATATTGAACACTCTGGGTGGCCGTCTCAGTTGTAAAAATAGAAGCATTAAGAGAAAATCTTGCTTCGAGGAGCAGACTCCTTTCTGTGGATTATTACTTGTTTCCAAATTAAATTCATGCCTTGAATACCGCTTGAATGAAGTTCATGCGCCTATTTACATTTTCTTTCAGTTTTGCCGAAAACATTTGTTAAATATAAGAGTTCTCGTTTCTTCTACCGACAGACTCGTAGCCTTTTGAGCCCGAGTTCGCTTTTTTTAAAAAAAGGCTTTAGGTTGTTGTAACGTTTATAATCTGTAGTCTATGAAGTGTATCGCATATTTTTCAGTAAATGAACCCCTAAGCATTTGTGAGCAATTCATCGACAAGAAGAAAGCAATGGTAACTTATGGTGACTTTTTTATCAGATACTGTTTTGCATAAGTATATTCAAAGCTGAATTTACACATAACTGGGCCCGATAGAAAGAAAAACTAAATAAACTTGCGGTGAACACAAAAGTCGGCCAGCTTTTTCTTTTAGGTCTTTTCTTGAGACATTATTTTGTTGACTCTGACATCCGTAACCTGTAAATTGGCTACCGTAGAGTATCGTGCATAAAAAAGATTTTTTCCCTTTATATTGTGTTCATATCAGTCGTTTTCACTCAGCTGTTACCTCGAACCCCAAATCATTTTCCCCTGCCGCGACATTGGAACCGCGAGCGCGACATTGGACCCGCGACCGCGACTTTGGACCCGCGACCCGCGACTGTTAGTCAAACTCCACTATCAGTGAAGGAATTTTCCCCCGAGATATTTTCTTGCAAGATCTTTTTCTGAAATCACATAGCCCCCCTTCCCCTACCGCCTCAGTATTGACTGACTCTGGGTGGTCTTGCGTGAGTAAAGCGGGATAGCATTTGAGAGTTTTAAAAACAATATCCACCTGTCGATCTGTCGCTGACTGATATTCTTAACACATGAATTATAACATTTCTTGTTCCCTACAAATTTAGAGTTTCAATAAAAATGCTCTGAGCGTGCAAGATGAAGTTGTAAGCGAGCATAAAGGCGCATATGGTATTCAAAAAATTAACAACAATGAGAACGTTTTGAATTTTTAATAGAGGGCAAAGTCGCGTCTCACAAACACCGTGATTAACTCAAAAGTACGAAAAGAACGACACAATTGGTATTCTTCATAGCCAACATGCGAGTATTTGGTGCAAAAAATTACGCTCTATCATTGAGATTTGCGTCTCTATGAGACGATTCTTGACATGTCACTGCCGCCAAACCAAACTGTCAGTGATCCGTAAACATGCAAATATAGCGCTTATTTTGTTATTTCTTTGGTAGATAAAAAGAGATAAAAGAAATGGATTAAAAAAACTGTTGAGAATTGCTCTACGATTGCAAAATTAAGTTTTTTAGCGCACAATAATACATCTGTCTTGTAAATAACATAATGAAGCGGCTTTAAGGCTTGTAAGTCAAAGAATTTGTCTACGAGCTGAGTTTCAAATTAACGTCCACTTCAAACGCCGTACTTCAAATAAGTTGAGTTTCTTTCTTGTTATCGACTTGTTAAGTTCGGCGTTTGACCCGGTTAAGGTCACCTGTTGGTGTTTGGATCGGCCGAGGCGTTAAAATACAATCAACCGAACTTAAATACGGTGTTTGACCCGGGTCCAATACATTTAAATTATTTAACCACTCACCACTCGGCAGAGACCCGACCAACAAACATGCTACAATCATAAGATCGGGGCAATTCATAGTACAGATCTTGGTATTCCTTTAGAAAGCTACGTCGAAAAAGGACGATGATGTTGCAAACTCTTTTGTGTGACTTGCGTTGACACGCCTTGTATTTTTATTACACAAGTGAGGTCACTACTTATGTATGTGTTAGAGTTCCCGGATGATCGAGTCACTTCAGAAAGAACGTTGTTTGCTGCTCGTTGTGTACCCGGAGTTGAATTCTTTTCTTATGCAAACGATTTCTTTTGCTCCAATAAATTTGCATAGATGCTGGCCACGTGAGTGAACGTTCTATAACTGGTAAATGTTTCTTATAAACTTAGACCCTGTTTACATGGAGTGGGGGACCTCGGTTTAGTGGGGTAGGTTTCTTTTGTTTTGTGTCCCCCAGAGCGTGATAACAAAAGAAACCAACCCCACTAGACCGGGGTCCCCCCACTCCATGTAAACAGGCCCTTATACATTTATCATAAACGCAGCCGTATTCCCAGTGGACGGTCGTGCAACACGGGCCTTCATTTCTGTCCAATTACTTGCTAGAGTTGTATTTTCAGGCGTGTGTTGGTCATCTCCCTCGGGAGTGAAGGGAATTTGTTCACGATAGCTGCAAGTGCCAGATGAGAGGATTCCTGCGGTGTCCCCTTCTGGGGAGGGTGTCCCCTGGGAGGGTCATCTGTTCCCCCCCAATTTTATCTTGGCCTAGTCCAACCACCTTCTCTTGAGTCCCCGGGCCTTTAATTTGTTGAGCTAGCGTCCCGGCTGGGTATAGATTACAATTTCATATTATTTTACACCAGTAGTTAATATGAATAGATTGCATACATGCATGTAAAATAAATATATGGGGTTCATGATACGGAAATCCTACCCCATAATTTGGCTTGTCAGCAAAACAAAAAGGAACGAAATATGCATCAGTTAGAGAAACCAGACTGCGGACTGATCGAAGGTAAATTCGTAAACTCCAGAGTACCGTATTTATTCGAATAAGCGCCCAACCTCGAATTATCGCCCACCTCGAATAAGCGCCCATCCTAAAGGCAGAAAAAGTTAATAAGCGCCCAGCCTCTAATAAGCGCCCACCCCCTCCTCTTCCCAATCAAACTCAAATAAGTGCTCTCCCCCACCCCATCTATTTGAGTGAATAAATTCTAATAAGAGACTTCCCCGAGGACAGAGTTTTCTTCAGAGCATTTTACAGAAACCTTACTTTGTTACTTCTTCGCGTTTTGTTATTAGCATTTATTGTTTTGTTGCAAAATAAACATACTTCACTTGCTGAAAATGGTGAAAATTTAATAAGAGCTAATAAGCACCCGGCCTCGAATAAGCGCCCGCCTCGAATAAGCGCCCACTCTCAAGGTCCATGAGAAATCGTCTACGTCGTTGACTTCACGTGCCTGCTCGGCATACTTGTCAGGCACGTGCAGGAAAATATTTCTCGCCCCTTAAAGTTTGTAAATTTGTTAAATTTTTCTCCTCAATGCTGCAAGAGGATCAAATGAAACTGGTAGATTAAACTTTGGGGCTCATTTTCCTTGAAAAACTGAAAGCTCTTCTCCAAGAAAGCGCTGCAGGTGAACTCCTTCGAATAAGAAGATCACGAAAGCAGCGAGATACATTTAGATCCTGGCCTCTGATTGGGCGCAAAAATATTTTTTTGTACCCAATCAAGGACAAGAATTCGTGGATCTGGTTCGTTAAGAGCAGTATCCCAGGGCCTCTCCTGCCCTTTCTTGAAAACTTTCGCCGCCGTTTTTCCTGACCCAACTGACCGTTCCTGGGTCTCCGCGGAGGATGATTTGTAACGAATGAAACCATAGAATCTTTTGTTTCCAGAACCAATGCGCTTCTGGTTGGCACATTGATATCGATCAACAGAAGCGCTTACTATTTATATGGAAAACCCGGAAATTTCGGGAAAAGAAGTCAAATGGATCTGTTCATTCCGGCGGAAATTTTCCGGGAAAAAAAGTAATACCTTTCGAGGTATTACCTTTTTCCCATTTTTACGGAAACGACCGAAATTTTCTGTACCGTTTGTTTGGATTACCTAGTGCCAGGCTTCATGTTGAGAGAAAGCAAAAATTTACCGGTACTTTGAAAATGGTACAACTTAATCCCGTTCCTGTTTTCGTTGCCAAAAAATATACCAGTACCATTTGACGAAAATTTTGCACCAAAATTTCTGTACAAATGGTAAACACTCCAGGTGACGTCAGCGTGGGTGGCCCACGTGACCTTCCGTAACAAGATCAGAGTCAGCGTATCAGAGCAGTAAGCCATTTATTGGGTTAGCCCAGCTGTAAATAGGTTAGAGTTTAGGGTCAGGTGAAGGGTTAAGCCGAACTGAGCATCAGGGATGATTGAAGTAGATTTATTAATAATTGTTCAACGTAAATTTGATAATTCCATCAACGCCAGTAGTAACTTTGGACTATAATTCTTTCATATGCTGCTCAATATCCTTGTGGTGTGATTGATCTACGTTGTAGAAAAGCCTCCGTGACAAATCTCGAAGTAGTTTGAGAGTGTTTGTTTATTATGGATTGTTTTACGACGCATTGGCGACCTCTGACGAAACTACAGAACAGTAAGTAATAAAAAAATTAGTTAAAAAGGAAAAGTCCTCTGAATTTTCTGCACCTTGTTATGGTTTGTGTTTGCTCAGTCACAGTACAGCTGTAGACAACAGAACAACATGGTTAAATCAACTCCTTCGATGCACTTGCAGCACATACTAAATTTGGGAACTGTTATAGGAAAACTGTTGATCCAGTTATTCTCTAATGTTTCTTCACTGTGATGAAGATAACGTACTGAAACGAACAAAACAATGAAACTATGTTCACATAATTAAACATGTTAAGGTCTGAAGCATGAATATAAAAAGAGGTTTGAGGTTTTGCGTCATTTTTCATCATCAGCGTTAACATCAGCATCAGGAGCATCATCATCGTTATTATTCTAGCAAAACATTCTAAGAGGCTGAGTGGGATGGTTATAAGTGTATGCCACAAATTATTGAATCGACCTTAAATCATCTTATATCGCAAGTTTCTCTAAGTTGTTTTAACGATCTTATACTGACAGTTGACATAGCGTTTATGTATACATCTTCATCGACGTTTTCTTAGGTTTCTTATTTAAGTTGTCCTTGCAATACTTATGTTCCCTTTGTTAGCATTTCCTTAATTTCTGATATAGAATTTCCAGTTATATTATAAATTCATTGATCTTACTCTTAGGTGGAAGCTTACCAGCGAACAGCTCGCGAACAGCCTGCATTTGTAGGCTGATTTAGCAACAGGACAGGAACGTCAGTTGACGACGGGAAAGCGCGCTGAAAGGACTGAACACGACTTCCAATGCTCAATTTGCCGCTCTGCCATTGGTCAAGCCAGTTATTTGATTTGCGCGCGCCGTCGTCAACTGACGTTCCTGTTCTGTTGCTAAATTAGCCTATTGGCAGTGAGCGCGCACGCGCTTACTAAAGGTGACGTCATTTATGCGTCGCGAACTACAACTTATTGTTGCGTCAGTAACAGTAAAAAAAAAACGGATTTACGAATGGCTCCAATAGAAAGTCCGCGCTGTTCCGATATTTGGCCTAAAGGCGGCAAAAACTCACCTCAGCCGCCTTACGTTCGAAAACCCGGTTTTGACCCTTGCAAAATCCTTGACCCTAAACGAAAAACCTTGCCATCGCTCCACGCGGAGCGCATTATGACCGTTTTCCAAGAAGCAGTGAAGCGGATGGAGATAACAACGGCATTGCCATATGTCCTGGATTCCTTGCCTCGTTTTTCTGTTGTTTTGGGACAAGAGCTGCTGAATCACATGGAAAAGCACTTGCGATTGCAAAATGCATTCAAGGAAATCATCTGTGAGCAGAACAGGCTTTTAGAAAATGAAACACAGTCTGATGTTTTCAGACGCACTGAGGAGAGTCAGTCATGTGATACGAATGAATCGGGATTTCAAGTCTGCGCGGGAAACAAAATTGGTTTTCCTGAAGAGATGCAAAAAAGGAAATCTCTTGACAAACAGGGAGAGATACTGGCACAATCAATAAGAGACTCTTTGAGGGAGATGCTGCGTTATTTTAAGAAAAATCCGAAATCGGTCGAAGCCATCCTAGGTGAGTTTTACTTTCAAAGCAAATTTAAAATCACAATTCACTGTAGAGAGATTTAGTATTCGCGGGAAAACAGGCTTACCTTTCTGGACATTCGGTGAGTTCGGCAAGGGTGCTTTTATTTTTTAAATTTTGGCTTCTTTGGCGGTTAATGCTTAATTAACGACTAAATTTAAATTTAAATACTGGAAAAAATCATTTCAATCAATTTTTGCTCATTTTTTCTATTTAAAACGTCACAAAAATATAACAATAAACGCAAAATGCAGCATATAGCGATATGTAACAACCGTGTTTAGCGCGTATACAAAACTACTACTAATATTAATCTTTAACTCCCGTCAATGAGACGATTACAAACCAAAAATACTTTATACAACTAACAACTTCTTGATGTTGCGCTTGCCACTTTTACATTGCCTAGGTTTCTGGAGAGCTACACCTATCATGCGTTCTTGTTCTTTTATCCTAATTACGTCTCGGGTTAGGAATGTTGGCTAAATAGCTATTTAAAGTGTAATATCCGTGTAAGTCTCTAAAGTTTATCTTAAAGACTCAAGGTGTTCTGGAATGCATATCATTTTATGGTTGGAAGGGGAAAAGGATGGTAGTATTATCAAATTTCTAAATGAATAGAAAAAATTTCGCGATCATGTTTAAACACTCATAAAAAAAACGAAGTGTCGCTTGCTTGCAAGCTGACCCTTTCTAGGGTCAGTTCCAGTAGGCGATCGGCCGTTACTTAGTGGGACCCAAGTAGAATTAAGTAACTTGTTCGAAGTTGTCTGGTATTAGAGGCCTTTAGATTCTAAGACGGGGACAATTACGATTGCGAGATTTTCTCAATACTGTAAGCAACGAGCGCGCGTGAACCAGCGTCATTTTGTCGGGAAAACTTGATAAGCTTTTCGTGGTTTCTTGTTTTTGAGACGACGCAAAAAAACCTTAAGTTAAATCTCGTCATCTCAGTCGTTCTCGTCCTGGAATGTTTAAGGTGTCCAATAAGAAATGACAACGCAAAGGCAAATGAGAACGCGAGACTGAACGCGACCTCCAGTGCTTTATCTACCACTCTGTCATCAATGAAGCTCGCTTTCACATCTCCACGAAAATCGCGGTCACCTTGCCCAAAGTAAATAAAAAAATTACGCTCTATCATTGAGATTTGCCTCTCTATGAGATGATTCCTGACATGTCACTGCCGCCAAACCAAACTGTCAGTGATCCGTAAACATGCAAATATAGCGCTTATTTTGTTATTTCTTTGGTAGATAAAAAGGGATAAAAGAAATGGATAAAGAAACTGTTGAGAATTGCTCTACGATTGCAAAATTAAGTTTTTCAGCGCACAATAATACATCTGTCTCGTAAATAACATAATGGAGCGGCGTTAATAAAGTAAGTCAAAGAATTTGTCTACGAGCTGAGCTTCAAATTATAAAGGTCCGGTTCAAACGCAGTACCTCAAGTAAGTTGAGTTTCTTTCTTGTTAAGTTCGGCGTTTGACCCGGTTAAGGTCACCCGTTGGTGTTTGGATCGGCCGAGGCGTTAAAATACAATCAACCGAACTTAAATACGGTGTTTGACCCGGGTCCAATACATTTAAATTATTTAACCACTCACCACTCGGCAGAGACCCGACCAACAAACATGCTACAATCATAAGATCGGGGCAATTCATAGTACAGATCTTGGTATTCCTTTAGAAAGCTACGTCGGAAAAGGACAATGATGTTGCAAACTCTTTTGTGTGCCTCGCGTTGACACGCCTTGTATTTTCAATGCGCAAGTGAGGTCACTACTTATCTATATGTTAAAGTTCCCGGATGATCAAGTCACTTCAGGAAAGAACCGTGCAAAAGAACGTTGTTTGCTGCGCGTTGTGTACCCGCAGTTGAATTCTTTTCTTATGCAAACACTTTCTTTTGCTCCAATAAATTTGCATAGATGCTGGCCACGTGAGTGAAAACGTTCTATAACCGGTAAATTTTTATTATAAACTTATACATTTTTCATAAACGTAGCCGTATTCCCTGTGGACGCTCGTGTAACACGGACCTTCATTTCTGTCCAGTTACTTGCTAGAGTTGTATTTTCAGGCGTGTGTTTGGTCATCTCCCTCGGGAGTGAAGGGAATTTGTTCAGTTTAGCTGCAAGCGCCAGATGAGAGGATTCCTGCGGTGTCCCCTTCTGGGGCAAGAGGGTGTCCCCGGGGAGGGTCATCTGTCCCCCCTACCCCTAATTTAACTCTTATCTTGGTCTAGTCCAACCGCCTTCTCTTGAGTCCCCAGGCCTCTGTTGAGCTAGCGTCCACTGGGAATAGATTACAATTCATACTATTTTACTCCAATAGTTGATATGAACAGATTGCATACATGCATGTAAAGTAAATATGTAGGGTTCATGATACGGAAATCTTACCCCATAATTTGGCTTGTCAGCAAAACAAAAAGGAAACGAAATATGCATCAGTTAGAGAAATCAGACTGTGGACTGATCGAAGGTAAATTCATAAACACCAGAGCAGTTCTAGGCTTTTTCATGAGAAATTTTCCACGTAGTTGACTTCGTAAGCCTTCTCGGCAAACTTGTCAGGCACGTGCAGGAAAATATTTCTCGCCCCTTAAAATTTGTAAATTTGTTAAATTTTTCTTCTCAGCGCTGCAAGAGGATCGAATGAAACTGGTAGATTAAACTTTGGGGGCTCATTTTCCTTGAAAAACTGAAAGCTCTTCTCCAAGAAAGCGCTGGAGGTGAACTCTTTCGTATAAGAAGATCACGAAAGCAGCGAGATACATTTAAATCCTGGCCTCTGATTGGGCACCAAAAATTTTTTTTGTACCCAATCAAGGACGAGAATTCGTGGATCTGGTTCGTTAAGAGCAGTATCCCAAGGCTCCCGCCCGTTCTTGAAAACTTTCGCCGCCGTTTTTCGCGACCCAACTGACCGTCCCTGGGTCTCCGCGGAGGATGATTTGTAACGAATGAAACCATAGAATCTTTTGTTTCAAGAACCAATGCGCTTCTGTTTGGCACATTGATATCGATCAACAGGAGCGCTTACCATTTATATGGAAAACCGGGAAATTCCGGGAAGAAGTCAAATGGAACTGTTCATTCCGGTGGAAATTTTCTGGAAAAAAAGTAATACCTTTCGAGGTATTACCTTTTTTCCATTTTTATGGAAACGACCGACATTTTGTGTACCATTTGTTTGGATTACCTAGTGGCAGCCTTCACGTCGAGAGAAAGCGAAAAATTTTTTACCGGTACTTTGAAAATGGTACAACTCAATCCCGTTCCTGTTTTCTTTGCCAAAAAGAATACCAGTACCATTTGACGAAAAATTTTCACCGAAATTTCTGTACAAATGGTAAACACTCCTGGTGACGTCAGCGTGGGTGGCCCACGTGACCTTCCCGTAACAAGATCAGAGTCAGCGTATCAGAGCAGTAAGCCATTTATTGGGTTAGCCCAGCTGTAAATAGGTTAGGAATGATTGAAGAAGATTTATTAACAATTGTTCAACGTAAATTTGATAATTCCATCAACGCCAGTAGTAACTTTGGACTATAATTCTTTCATATGCTGCTCAATAGTCTTGTGGTGTGATTGATCTATGTTGTAGAAAAGCCTCCGTGATAAATCTCGAAGTAGTATGAGAGTGTTTGTTTATTACGGATTTTTTTTACGACGCATTGGCGACCTCTGACGAAACTACAGAACAGTAAGTAATAAAAAAATTAGTTAAAAAGGAAAAGTCCTCTGAATTTCCAGCACCTTGTTATGGTTTGTGTTTGCTCAGTCACAGTACAGCTGTAGACAACAGAACAACATGGTTAAATTAGCTCCTTCGATGCACTTGCAGCACATTGGGAAATGTTATAGGAAAACTGTTGATCCAGTTATTCTCTAATGTTTCTTCACTGCGATGAAAATAACGTACTGAAACGAGCAAAACAATGAAACAATATTCATGTTAAGGTCTGAAGCATGAATATAAAAAGAGGTTTGAGGTTTTGCGTCATTTTTCATCATCAGCATTAACATTAGCATCAGGAGCATCATCATCGTTATTATTCTAGCAAAACATTCTAAGAGGCTGAGTGAGATGGTTATAAGTGTATGCCACAAATTATTGAATCGACCTTAAATCATCTTATATCGCAAGTTTCTCTAAGTTGTTTTAACGATCTTATACTGACAGTTGACATAGCGTTTATGTATACATCTTCATCGATGTTTTCTTAGGTTTCTTATTTAAGTTGTCCTTGCAATACTTATGTTCCCTTTGTTAGCATTTCCTTAATTTCTGATATAGAATTTCCAGTTATATTATTAATCATAACTATAACAAAATTGTCAAATCTGATTGGCTCTCAACTGCCCTGATTTCAGCCTTAATTGGACAGTTTAATAGGACAGTACGCGTCATGCCTAAGTAATTGGACAGTACGCGCCATCACGCGCGCGCTTAAATGGCTTTTTTTTTCACTGCTAGCAAAACAAAATTTCGAATTTCTTGTGTTTTGGCTTAAAAAATAGCCTATTGTATCACAAATTTTGTTAAAGTTATGATTAATTGGTAACAGAACTTCGTGTCTTCCAATTCAGTCTGTAATCATACTCGTGATTAAACAAATCGGACTCCCGCTACGCGGTCGTCCGATTTTGTTAATCACTCGTATGATTACAGAACGAATTGGACTCCACTCAGTCCTGTTACCATGACTAATCATAGCTATAACAAAATTGTCAAATCTGATTGGCTATCAACTGCCCTGATTTCAGCCTTAATTGGACAGTTTAATAGGACAGTACGCGTCATGCCTAAGTAATTGGACAGTACGCGCCATCACGCGCGCGCTTAAATGGCTTTTTTTTCACTGCCAGTAAAACAAAATTTCGAATTTCTTGTGCTTTGATTTAAAAAATAGCCTATTATGTCACAAATTTTGTTAAAGTTATGATTAATTGGTAACAGAACTTTGTGTCGTCCAATTCGGTCTGTAATCATACTCGTGATTAAACAAATCGGACTCCCGCTACGCGGTCGTCCGATTTTGTTAATCACTCGTATGATTACAGACCGAATTGGACTCCACTCAGTCCTGTTACCATTACTAATTCATTGATCTTACTCTTAGGTGGAAGCTTACCAGCGAACAGCTCGCGAACAGCCTGCATTTGTAGGCTGATTTAGCAACAGGACAGGAACGTCAGTTGACGACGGGAAAGCGCGCTGAAAGGACTGAACACGACTTCCAATGCTCAATTTGCCGCTCTGCCATTGGTCAAGCCAGTTATTTGATTTGCGCGCGCCGTCGTCAACTGACGTTCCTGTTCTGTTGCTAAATTAGCCTATTGACAGTGAGCGCGCACGCGCAAAGGTGACGTCATTTATGCGTCGCGAACTAAAACTTATTGTTGCGTCAGTAACAGTAAAAAAAAACGGATTTACAAATGGCTCCAATAGAAAGTCCGCGCTGTTCCGATATTTGGCCTAAAGGCGGCAAAAACTCACCTCAGCCGCCTTACGTTCGAAAACCCGGTTTTGACCCTTGCAAAATCCTTGACCCTAAACGAAAAACCTTGCCATCGTTCTACGCGGAGCGAATTATGACCGTTTTCCAAGAAGCAGTGAAGTGGATGGAGATAACAACGGCATTGCCATATGTCCTGGATTCCTTGCCTCGTTTTTCTGTTGTTTTGGGACAAGAGCTGGTGAATCACTTGGAAAAGCACTTGCGATTGCAAAATGCATTCAAGGAAATCATCTGTGAGCAGAACAGGCTTTTAGAAAAGGAAACACAGTCTGATGTTTTCAGACGCACTGAGGAGAGTCAGTCATGTGATACGAATGAATCGGGATTTCAAGTCTGCGCGGGAAACAAAATACAAAAAGGGAAATGTCTTGACAAACAGGGAGAGATACTGGCACAATCAATAAGAGACTCTTTGAGGGAGATGCTGCGTTATTTTAAGAAAAATCCGAAATCGGTCGAAGCCATCCTAGGTGAGTTTTACTTTCAAAGCAAATTTAAAATCACAATTCACTGAAGAGAGATTTAGTATTCGCGGGAAAACAGGCTTACCTTTCTGGACATTCGGTGAGTTCGGCGAGGGTGGTTTTATTTTTTAAATTTTGGCTTCTTTGGCGGTTAATGCTTAATTAACGACTAAATTTAAATTTAAATACTGGAAAAAATCATTTCAATCAATTTTTGCTCATTTTTTCTATTTAAAACGTCACAAAAATATAACAATAAACGCAAAATGCAGCATATAGCGAAATGTAACAACCGTGTTTAGCGCGTATACAATACTACTACTAATATTAATCTTTACAGAGGAAAGTCCCGTCAATGAGACGATTACAAACCAAAAAACTCTATACAACTAACAACTTCTTGATGTTGCGCTTGCCACTTTTACATTGCCTAGGTTTCTGGAGAGCTACACCTATCATGCGTTCTTGTTCTTTTATCCTAATTACGTCTCGGGTTAGGAATGTTGGCTAAATAGCTATTTAAAGTGTAATATCCGTGTAAGTCTCTAAAGTTTATCTTAAAGGCTCAAGGTGTTCTGGAATGCATATCATTTTATGGTTGGAAGGGGAAAAGGATGGTATTATCATCAAATTTCTAAATGAATAGAAAAAATTTCGCGATCATGTTTAAACACTCATAAAAAAAACGAAGTGTCGCTTGCTTGCAAGCTGACCCTTTCTAGGGTCAGTTCCAGTAGGCGATCGGCCATTACTTAGTGGGACCCAAGTAGAATTAAGTAACTTGTTCGAAGTTGTCTGGTATTAGAGGCCTTTAGATTCTAAGACGGGGACTATTACGATTGCGAGATTTTCTCAATACTGTAAGCAACGGGCGCGCGTGAACCAGCGTCATTTTGTTGGGAAAACTTGATAAGCTTTTCGGGGTTTCTTGTTTTTGAGACGACGCAAAAAAACCTTAAGTTAAATCTCGTCATCTCAGTCGTTCTCGTCCTGGAATGTTTAAGGTGTCCAATAAGAAATGACAACGCAAAGGCAAATGAGAACGCGAGACTGAACGCGACCTCCAGTGCTTTATCTACCACTCTGTCATCAATGAAGCTCGCTTTCACATCTCCACCAAAATCGCGGTCACCTTGCCCAAAGTAAATATTTGAAGCGAGAAGCGAACCGGCAGCGGAAATATATAAATCATACCTCTTTGTTTTCCTTGCATAACATATTTGTCCTTTGGTACTGAATTTGTGAGGGTAACCAACCGCAAACGACAGTCACTGCAACCGTGTAAATTCTTAACCGACAGCAACGCGCGCTGGACTATCGATCGAATTTTTATATTTACATTGTTTTCACCGGGCAAGGACATCAGAAGATTATAAACAATTATTGGATGAGGTTTTTGTGATATCCAGAATAATCAAGGTTGAGGTAAGTGTTATCAGCCGAAGCCGAAGGCTGAGGCTGATAACACTAACCGAGACCTTGATTATTCCGGATATCACAAAAACCGAATCTAATAATTGTTTTATTATACTTTATCTTCAAGTAATTTCTCAATTTCTTGCTGGGTCGATGAAGCGAATCGAGAAGCCATTCTTACTTCGCTGTCCGCGAACTTGACATTGCTGTCCGCGCACTTAACATTGCTCTTGGAAATCATGCATTGCGCGCGCAACCTACAGATTATTCACAAATCTGTAGGTAAAGATTAGTGAATAATCTGTAGGTTGCGCTGTTTCCCGGAATTACCTGTAGGCTTTTAGCCAATGAGAAGACAGATGGCGACTACAATGTATAATAAAATGATGCTGGTAAAAATCTGGAGAAAGTGTTAAATTCATAGGAAGTAAGTCTATTTAAGAGATCTATATAAATATGAGCTTATACATTCAATTAACATACCTGATTAAACAGATTCAAACTTCATAACATTTCATTTTTTTTTTATTACGATCAGTCAACTGACCTTGAATTCAAATTTAAAACTCAAAACGATCCTAATAAAAACTCAGCTC